TGATGTAGCTAAAGAGAGGAGAAATGTTCCAAATTTTATTTTGCCGTTATCTGAATAAACGTGCAAGGTTCCCTGTCAATTTAAAGAAGGAGACATGAGTTATGTTTTTGTTTAACTGATGCCTGCAGCTAAATGATTACCGTGAATAAGACCTATGAAAATAATTCAGCATTTCAAAAAGTTGAAAGCTACTTTGGAGAAGCTGGAGACTAGGTTGATAAAATTTGTGGATGGCACCATGCAGGGAGGAGTCACAAACATTTTGGAGGGCAGAATTAGAATTTAAAATGACCTGGATAAATTGGAGAATTTCTCTAAAATCAACCATATGAAATTCAGTAATGATAACCACAAAGTATTTTATTTGGGAAGGAAAATGGAAATGCACAACTACAAACTAGGGATGTAAAAGAGAAGTCAATTAATTAGTTGAGTGGACTACTCACATTCTCTGTATCAGAGGCAGCAAGTGAGGGGAAGCAGGAGCTGGTGCTGGCAGGAGAGCGGACTTAAAAGCTGGTTCCCCCAGCACTGTCTCCACAGAGGCAGCAGCGCAGGAGGCCTGGGGAGGCTGCTCCGTTGCCACACCTGTCCATGGTGGGTCTTGCTTCCTATTGGAACCCACCATGGACGGGGGCTGCTGGACCCAGCACAAGCCGGGACTGAGCAAGCCCAGCTCGTGCCGGGTCCAGGAACTACACCCGCTCTGGCTCTGCAGTTTAAATGTAGTAAGAACTGGGCGCACAGGCTCTTACGACATTTAAACTGCAGAGCCACAGTGAGAGTAGCTCCTTCAGAGCGCCTTCCCTTATCGACTAATCATTTAGTCGATAGAAATTGTATCGACTACACGATGACCCAATTACCTGCCTCTTAACAGCCTTACTGCAAACGGGGACTAACTGGCTAGGGGGTAGTACTGGTATTGTGGATTGAAAAATTCAATATGGTCAACAGTGTAATTCAATTGTAAAAAAGGCTAATAGCATTCTGGGGTGTATTAAGAAGAGTGTCGTCTGTTAGACACGAGAGGTAATTGTTCCACTGTACTCAGCATTGGTGAGGCCTTAGCTGGAGTACAATGGCTAGACCAGGGTACCACACTTTAGGAAAGATGTGGACAAAGTGGAGAAAGTCCAGGGAAGAAAAAAAAAAAAAAAGGTTTAGAAAACCTTTCCTGTGAGGAAAGTTTAGGAACACTGGGCATGTTTAGTCTTGAGTGAAGACTGAGTGAGGGGAGAGTGAATATGAAAAGTCTTCAAATATGTTAAGGGTTGTTATAAAGAGGACAATGATCCGTAAGGGTTTTCAGTGCTGTAGTAGGCTTCCAAGGGAGGTTGCGGAATCCCCATTGTTAGACGTTTTTAAGAACAGGTTAGACAACAGGTGGTCTAGGTCAGGATGGTCTAGGTTTACTTGGTGCTGCCTCTGTGCAAGGAGCTGGGCTTGATGATCTCTCTGGATCAGGGCTACTCAACATGTGGCCCGTTTGTTTGCTGCCTGCGGGGCGGTTTGGGTTTGCGTGGGGCTCAACACGAGGCCTGCGGGCGGGATCGTTTGAACATGGCCTCCCCTGGGAGCATGCTCCACAATGGCAGGGCATCTCCCAGGTGGTGTGAGCTTTGAAAAGACGCAAGCGGACGGGCTGGCTGGAACGAACGGGTACAGGGTGTTGGCGTTTCTAGCCCCCAGGGTGCTGGTTGTGCCGGGGGATTGTGGGAAGTGCTGGCTTCTTAGCCTCGTGGGCAGAACCTGAGAGGTGTTGACTGGCTCACACTGGCCACATTTGGATCTGGTGCTGCGGCTTAAGGCTTAATCTTTGTATTCATGCCTGTCAGGGTGAAAGAAGCTATTTGCTTATATATTTGCTTGTATGTGCAACCACACTGAAGTTGCAGCCCTCAGCATGTTCTGTGAGTATCATTGTGGCCCCTGGGGCTTCCAAAGTAGAGTAGCCCTGCTCTAGATCCTTTCCAGCCTTGCATTTCTATGACTTCAATGATTTTCTGAATTGTGATTTCAATACTGGGCAAACTGGTTGAAACTGTAGTAAGGAACAAAATTGTCAGATGCAGAGATGAACATAATTAGTTGGGGAAGCATCAACACGTAAAGGGAATTCATGCCTCAGCAATCTACAGCTTGAACCTTTCTAGTCCGGCACTGTCTGGTTTAGCAACATCTGTGGTCTGGCATGATTTTCCTTAGCCAGATGTTCCATTTATCATGGCTGTGGCCAAGTTTCCCACAGTCCCATAAAGTATGTTTACAGCCACCGGTCCTGCCTCTCAGCATTCTGTGCTGTTCTTTAGCTCTAATTTACGCCTAAATGTTGTCTTCTAAGAGCACAGCAAGCAGTGGAAGTGTTGGCAACGCTGCTAGACATTATTCCTCTCCTGTGGTCCAGCAAATTCTCTGATTCAGAACTGGTCAGGTCCTGTGGGTGCCACACTAGAGAGGTTCCACCTGTACTAGAATATTTTGAGGGGCTCAACAAACATGTGGACAAGGGAGATCCAGTGAATATAGTATAGTTAGACTTTTAGAAAGCCTTTAACAAGGTCCCTCACCAAAGGCTCTTAAGCAAAGTCAGCTGTCATGGAATAAAAAGTAAGATCCTCTCCCGGGTTAAAAGATAGAAAACAAATGGTCAGTTTTCAGAATGGAGAGAGATAAATAGTGGCCTATACTGGGACTAGTCCTTTTCCACATATTCATAAATGATCTTGAAAAAGGTATAAGCAGGTGGCAAAATTTGCAGATGATACAAAACTACCCAAGATAGTTAAGTCCCAGGCAGACTGAAGAGTTACAAAAGGATTGCTCAAAATGAGATGACTGGGCAATAAAATGGCAGATGAAATTCAATATTTACAATTGCAAATTAATGCATATTGGAAAACATAATCCCAACTATACATGTCGAATGATGGGATCTAAATTAGCTTACCAATCAAAAAAGATCTTGGAATCACTTTGGATAGTTCTCCAAAAACATCCACTCATTGTGCAGCAGCAGTCAAAAAAGTGAACACAATGTTGGGCATCATTTAGAAAGGGAGAGAGAATAAGACAGAAAATATCATATTGTCTCTGTATAAATCCATGGTATGCCCACATCTTGAATACTGTTTGCAGATGTGGTCGCCTCATCTCAAAAAAGATATATTGAATTGGAAAAGGTTCAGAAAAAGGCAACAAAATTGAACAGAGGTATGGAATGGCTTCCACATCAGGAGAGATTAATAAAACTGGGATTTTTTCAGCTTGGAAAAGAGACAACTAAGGGGGGATATGCTAGAGGTCTATAAAATCATGACTGGTGTGGAGAAAATAAATAAGGAAATGTTGTTTACTTGTTCCCATAACACAAGAACTAGGGGTCACCAATGAAATTAATAGGGAACAGGTTTAAAACAAAAAAAAGGAAGCATTTCTTCACAAAATGAATGATCAACCTGTGGAACTCCTTGCCAGAGGAAGTTGAGAAGGCCAAGAATTTAACAGGGTTCAAAAAGAACTAGATGAATTCATAGAGGTTAGGTCCATCAATTGTTATTAGTTAGGATGGGCAGGGATAGTGTCCCTAGCCTCTGTTTGTCAGAATCTGGGAATGAGTAACAAGGGAGGAATCACTTGATGTTTACCTGTTCTGTTTATTCCCGCTGGGGTGCCTGGTATTGGCCACTATCAGAAGACAGGGTATTGGGCTAAATGGACCTTTGGTCTGACCCAGTGTGGCCATTCTTATGTTCTTAACACAATGGAGAATCTCCTCCATTGTGTTTGCTTGTGGCATGTCTCTCCATGGTATATTAAAATATGCCTTTGGGGATGGCTGAATTCTTTTTCTTTTGAAACTAGTTTGAAGCTTTAATTACTTTTTTAGGTCCCTAATCCGACATAGAGATCTGCTTCCATAGATTTCAGTGTCCCGCTGGCTAGCTGATTCTGATGTAGAACAGTAGAAAGCTCATTAATGTGTTAAGCTTCATAGCTCTATGCAGAAAAATCCTTTATTTCCTCTTTTTTATTTTTTCCATTACTTCTCTTTGTGTTCCCTGTAGCGTAGATCTCCTTTGAATAGCTGTTCCTAGCAGTAAGATTTATTGGAAAGAATTAGGAACATTGATCACATCAGAATTAGTGTTGGGGATGGTTTTCTTTGCCTCTGGTTTGTGGCTATGTTTTAATTGCTCACTGTCCTCTCTGTGAGTTGGGTAAAGTCTTTTAGAATGGTAAGCACACTATTTTTATGTCCTTGAGCCTTGCGTGGCTTGGAGGATCTGCACAAATTAATGGTGCCCAGGAGACCACTGACTGCAGGTTTTGGAAATAGAGACAGTGTGTAGCAGTCAACGAGGGCAGAATTTGGTCTGCAGACTCTTTATTATTGGCAACTGGAAGATGTATCCAGCGTTGCTTGGGTCTTTAACTGAAGTAATTTTTTTTTTAAATAAATGAAAAATATACGTGCCTTGTATCGATTCTGTATTTTTCGAAACTCAAGGCTTGTGTCTTCCTTGTGTTCCGTGAAGTGCCCAGTTAGGGTTTCCTATTGCCTTTCATAGGGTCTTACACTGTCGACTGTCACTGTAGGAGTGCTCAGCACTCTTTAGGCACGGAATAAATAAATAAATGATGTCCCTACAGTGCATGCACCATGCTGCTTAAAAAGTCCATGACCCAAAATGCTGGTATCTTATGCCAGTGTCTCAGGGAATGAAATGAGCAGTAGGTTAGGAGATAAAGGAGTGGTCTCAGATACTGTATACCCCCAAAATTTTGCTCCCAAGTACACATGCACAGAGCTCCCTGTGAATTCAGGGGGCTCTTGTGCCTGTGTAACGAGGGGAAGAATTCAGACGGAGCTTTTCAAAGGAGATGGGAGTTAGGCATGTGTGTCCCAATGGAAACAGGTGCCTAGCTAACTCGCTTAGGTTCCTTTGAGAATCCCAGCCTCGTTCTTTAGAACTAAAAGACGGTGATTCTCAATGCAAGTTTCAGGAGAGACAAAGGACAGAGAGGTTAGTTCTCAGTAAAAATCTGACAGCTGTCCAGGTACTAGCCTCTGCCCCCTTATTACATTTCTTTCAAGATAGCCATCGTTTCCCTTATAATTTTCTGAATTACTGTAATGAGGATTAATTTGGCTTGCTGGGTACCTTGCCGTCTCCTTATGTACGTACAAAAGGGTTGTTGTAAAACCTTTTGAAACTCTCAAGGTTCAGGGGGAGGTCGGGAGCCATTCATTTGAGTGCTGCTGAAAAAGAGGCTTGTAAGGCTGCCTAATCCTCCTGTGAATGACGCTCTGGTCTTTTGGGAGTGCCGGATGGCTTTGTTGTGTGGGAAGCCCCGAGCATTTGCTGGATACATTGGTCCATTTCCTCAGATCGTGTTCTTTTGGGGGCCTGCAATCTGGACCGCCAGCAGCATCTCTTTTGGAAATATTCATCTCAATAAAAGCGGCGATCTTTTGAGCAGAGAGCATTGAGCCATCTTCAGACAAATTGCAGCCAGGCCCGTTAGGGAGGAAGTAGGGGAGGACAGCTGAACTCAGCAAAAGAGACCTCAAGAATGGTCAAGCCGTGCACACGTGTCTGTAGTACCACAGGGCCTGAAAATAACACAGAGTAAAATGGAGGGAGGAGGGGCCCTCCAGTGGGTCCAATAATGGCTAACAGTGCCTCTTGCACCTTCCAAAGTACAGTTCTCTAATCCCATACGCCACGTGTCCCGCATAGGAGCTGTGCACAGAAAATGCTCTTCATGTTATTTTGTGATGTATTTCCTTGTGCTGTGCCAGTGCCGTTATCTCAGAGCAAGGCTGTTTTGCAAGCTGCCTGTCAGAAGCCTCCTTCACTGGGGCCCCCTATGTCTTTTCTCTTTAGGCTGCCACCCGTCGTGCCATCAGTGTGTGGCTGATCTCCACGACACGGGCAGTGTCTGCTTAAAGTGCCAGAACGCCCGTCACTTGCTGTTGGGGGATCGCTGTGTCCCGGACTGTCCTGGGGGATCCTACGCAGATGGCGGAGCCTGTAAAAGTGAGTAGCACCTGGAGGTGGAGGTTAGGGGTGAGATCTTCCCAGCTGCTCTGGTGGAATTGCTCCAGAGGCAGCGTGGCCCAGTGGGCAGAGCACTGAGCTAAGATTCAGGAAATCTGTTTGAATCATGGTTCCTTAAGTCACTGCATCCCTCTGTCCCCCTGTTTCCTTTTGTTGTTACATTGGCAACTCTCTTTGGGGCAGGGACCTCTGTCTTTGTACCAAGCCTAGCCCTGTGGAGCCCCTAAGCAACGCTATTACACAAATAATAATAGCCACCAGACTCCAGCTGGCAGGACGTTGATGGGGAGGAGGGAGTAGAAGTATTGCTTGTCAGTGCTGCTTATGAAAAGTTCCCGTTTCATCCATTCAGTGTTGGCTAATGCGGTGCTGTCACTGCTGGGGGTAGGCAGGGCTCAAAGATTTTCCACACTCAAGGAACATGTTCAAGTGAGGTCACTCCAGCTGGCCTTTGCTAAGCTGCTCTGGTTCCTGTCCCCTCGGCTCTTACGGGATCAGCACAATTCTAGGAGCTTGACTGTCCAGGGGACATTCTGGGCATGTGCCAAAGGGGAAAAAACCACCGGTTTCTATTCATGGGGGGAGACTATGGGTGCAGAAGGACAGGAAACACTCTGGGGAAATCCAGACTCCATTGACATGAATAGCAAAACTCCTACTGACTTCACTTGGCATATAGCTGTCAAGTGGGCACAGGACCCAGGATCAGCTTAGGGTAGGATCTCAAACCAGGACGGTTCTTACGTCCGTAAGTGGCTCTTTTATCTGTGCTCTTAGGAATCCAACGGAACTGAGTATTGCCCCTGTGGTTAGAATCTCCTGGGACTTGAGGGAGGCTTTTGCTGCCCACCACTTAGCTGAATCAGCATCGCCAAAGGCAGTAATTCCTGCCTGTCCCCAAGAGAAAGAGCCAGCTCCAGAAAAGACAGTGGGACTCCTTGGTTTGTGGGACTAGCGTATAGTAGACGTTCAGCTGGGAATGTTGGCAGTTGTGTTTTGATGGTGCTTGTCCCTTAGCCCTTTGTGCCCACCATGGTACCTGCTGATGCTAGAGTGGCCCTTTTTTGCGGTCTTCTTTGCACCATTTTGCCTTTCCCAAGAGGACGTACATCCATTTGCTATGAGAACTCCAGGATACGCACCCACAGCTTGTCAGAGTCCAGTCCATCTGACACAAGACATTAGGGATTGAAAGAGACCAAAAGAGGAAACGTTACATGTTAAACCTGGGGTTTGGGTTTTTGATCTGCTGTCCGCGTGAAATGGGCACTGTCTAATCCAGCCTCAATGTATGAGATAGACACTTCAAAAGCTTCTCTCTGGTGACCCCAGATTTAGTTACAAGATTAGCGATTTTGTTATTTGCCTAGTTCCACACTGACAGAAATATTACTTGTTTTTCTTAGCTTTGGCCTAGTCTTTCAGGGTCATGTGTTTCACTCCATAGTGCTAATGTCATGTTGTGGGGGAGGAAAAGGCAGGGAATTCCTTCTTCATCTGGAAAGCCAAGTTTAGATAGAACATTTCTGCCCTTGCATGTGAACGCTTCATGAATTACCAAAAGTGTTAGGTTATTCAAGCTGTGGCAAAGTGCATGAGGGCAAAGTTTAGGGTTAGCTTTCTGGATCCCTAACATTGCCCCAGGGCCGAATCAACCTGGAAGAAGGTGGGTAACTCCATGGATTTCTCGGTCCACTTGCAGTCAGGAAAGAATGCCATCTGACAGCAAGAACACACACGTGTGTGGGAGTAATGGGTGCGCCGCACGCACAGGATCAGGCCAGTGTTGTGCACCTGTAATGCATCTCTACCGACCTGCGTGAAGATTTGCCTTTGCATGAAGGGTAGTTTTCATTTTTTTCTGCCCTCTCAGAGTGTCACCCCTCCTGCCAAACCTGCAGCGGTCAAGGGCCATTCTCCTGCTCCTCCTGCGACTCCAGCCTCGTTTTGGCCCACACTGGCATGTGCACTTCTGCCTGCTCTCTGGGGTATTACAGGGATGAGAGCCGGACCTGCAAACGTAAGTGACTCCCGCCTCTTTGGAACACCCTGGCATGTGTTTTATTCTCTTCTTGATCCAGTCTGACCCCTCATGAAAACCTTGCAACTGTCAGGAAAATGCCATTGGCAACATTATGAAGATCTTGAACTAAATGTATTAAGTAGCATCACTGTAACATGGAGCAGTGATTAGTTGCCTACTTGCCTACTGCCTTGCGTAGTTCTGGTCATTTATGCCAGTGCGAAACGGGTGCAGAACGCTACCAATTCTGATTGGGCAGATTTCTGCCCGGTGCTTAGCCATGACCCTGCAAAGCTCTGTTACGTGAGCTTAACTTTAAGCACATAACTAGTCCCATGGGTCAGTCCAAGCATCTGTTTCAGTACTTGGCTGGGTTGAGGCCAGAGCAGCAGGACGGAAGCTTATGGACACAAAATGGATTCCACTCTTACTAACTTTTCCAGGAAACTGCTTTCCAAGCTGAAAGGCTTGCCAATCCTCAGTTGCATGCCAAACTCACAGATAGTCTTCTGTGGATACCCTAATACGTCTTTTTCTCCCCTTGGGCTGACCATTCACCAGTGAAACCAAAGTTCTTGCTGACTGCAGCTCTAGCATCCAAACTTGAGTAAAACATTTATTTCTGTGAACTCTCTCATTCCAACCACACACATCTCATCTCCCCATTGGCAAATAACTTTTTTATTGTGTGTAAAATCTGTGACTGGTGGAAACTCACACGAGCCTTGCGGCAGGGCGGGTTGCTGTATCAAATGGGTGTAATTTCGAGAGGCACTCGGGCCTGTTCAGGTGCAGCGTTAGTGATAACTCATCTAGAAATGCATTGATCTGCTCTGTTGGAGAACTCCCATTTAGATATAACAAAAAATGTTTAATCAGGATCTTTGGTCTCTTTCTGTCCTCCCCCAGTTGTTTTGATTTCACTACACTTTTGAATAGCCCACAGTTTTGAAAATACTTTAGGAAATCAAAGGAATGTCAAGTAGATGTCTATTCTTTAGTGGGCGTATTGAGAGCAAAGGAATGTTTGTAGAGAAACGATGGCAAACTTAAGAGGCTTTTCAAAAAAGTGGTCTGAGTCTCAAAACTTTGTTGCAGAGCAATGCTGATAAAAGCAATGGCATGTACTTGTTTTTAAATACAAGTTGTTTTCTCCTTTGGGAGCAGTATTTTTGGATAGTGTGATTGCTGTGTATTTTGAACTCCACAAATGCTTTATCGTTCATGGGTCTTTTAATTCATGGCTCTGTTAATCTAAAGATACTTTGCAAGCACTAACTGATCCTCACCAGACCCTCATGAGGACAGATTAAATAACAGAGTGTAGGCACATGAATAAATAGGCATTCAATTCTTTAAATAGTGTTTTTTTTCTTGAGGGTAAGTCTACATTACAGATAGAGAGATAATGTCAGATGGATGTATCTAGGGTAGCTTTGGATGTACTGTCAGATAGATGTAAAAATGCTTGGAGAACACCTGCACATGGGGATTTGAATTCTAGTTTGACCCTGGTAGTTCCCCAGGTTATTATTATGTAAACTCAGTCCATCTGGGAGAAAGCAGTATTTTCAGTTGCACTCTGGTTGCCCCTTTTGGTAAATACTCAGAGCAACATGAAGTCTTATGTGGAGACATGTCCAACACTCGCTTTTGGATAGATGGAAGATGGGAATTAGGCAGTGCCTAGGGACGGTAAGCAGGGAAAACTATAAAGACTCACCCCAGCAGAAAGCACTTTGAAGAGTGATGCTTCTGGTAAATCTAACATCATTTTGCTCTGTGCATTTGGCTAGTGCTTCAGTAATTGCAGTGATTTTTTTGGTCTTAATTTCTTTACAGCTTGCAGTGTCCAGTGTCGGAGTTGTGAGTCGGCTGTGGGCTGTATATCATGCAGAGACGCAGCTAAGGTTCTGTTGTTTGGGGAATGCCAATATGAAAGCTGCACTCAGCAGTATTATCTTGATTTTGCTACCAAGACTTGCAGAGGTGAAAAATGCATATTTTTATTTTAAAGATTAGTGTGGCTTATACTCTGGTGTACTGCAGAATGGTCTACCTGGGTGGTCTATTAAGGGGCAGATGGTTTTTCCATTTTGTCTGTTTCAGCAGTCCTCTGTCACACACTGCATTTTCCAGTTAAACCCCCGCACCCCCCCCCCCCCCCCCCCCCCAAAACCAAAATAAAAAACCAAAGATTATTGCAAACCCTTCCTTTGTAAATGATTTAGCAAGTAAGCCATCAAACTTTCCAAGGGTCAGGTTTTGCAATTCATTCAGCCGTGACTCAGCTGAATAATGAATGAGGTTAGCATTTTAAATCTTTCTGTATTAAGCACGTTAGGGTCTTGTGTATTTACCTGATTATCTCTGGCTTATGAATACTACATCCCCGAACAACGACAACAAACACTGAGAAAGATATTGAAGAGTTGAGAGTATTCCATAACTCTTCTGAAGTAGACTCTGAGGAGGCTACCACCACTATTGCAAACCACTTATTAGATATTGGCTCTTTCTATACCTCCTTTAATTTGGTAGTGAGCAGCTGTTAATATTTCAGTATTGTAAAGAAAAAGTGTACAGGCAGTGTGCTATCCTGAGTGTGCCACTGACTTGCCGTGTGACACTAGGGAAGTCACCACAACTTTTTAATCAGGTTTAGCTGCTAGTGAAGAGAGATTAAAAGAACTTGGATTTTTCACCTTAGTAAATAGGAGACTAAGGTGGGGGGGATATGATTGAGGTCTATAAAATCATGACAGGTTTGGAGAGGGTGAATAAGGAAAAGTTACTTATTCCCATAGCATAAGAACTAGGGGGACATCACATGAAATTAATAGGTAGCAGGTTTAAAACAAACAAAAGGAAGTTTTTCTTCACACCGCTCACAGTCAATCTGTGGAACTCCTTGCTGAAGGATGTTGAGAAGACCAGGACTTTAACAAGGTTCAAAAAAAGAACTAGATAAATTCATGGAGGTTAGGTCCATCAATACTTATTGGCCAGGATGGGTAGGACTGGTATCTGTAGCCTTTGTTTGTCAGAGGCTGGAAATGGTGACAGGAGAGGGGTCACGTGATGATTCCCTATTCTGTTCAATCCCTCTGGGGCATCTGGCATTGGCTGCTGTCAGAAGATAGGATATTGGGCTAGATGGACCTTTGGTCTGACCCGGTTTGCCTGTTCTTATGTTGTTTCCCCTCCACCTCACTAGCAAACTTATCTGTTTTGACTGTAAGCTTTTTAGAGAAGGCAATGATGTATTTGTACAGGGCCTAGTACCATCTGAGGTGCTACTATAAAACAAATAGTAATATAGGCCATATTGTGCCCTTGAGGACACTGAAGGCAGTGGAAGCTGTGCCTGAGAATTTGAAGGCCGAACTGGACTTATTTGAACTAGATTTGCTACATTCCTGGCCCAAGGGCTCTCTTTCGTTAGTGATGTTCCTCTGTGGTTAGGCTAAATTGGGAAGCGTTCAGCCTCTGAGAAGTCACAGTCTGTGCAAGATAAGAGACTGAGGATTTTACATGGATAAATGGAGATGCTTAGTATTGGCAGATAAGGACCACTGGTGCCCAAGGGAGAAGAGCGGCACCGCTGATAAGCAGGCCCAAACACCAGACACTGCCTACGTCTGGCATCATTAGGAAGTGCTAAGCCACAGAGGATTCCTCACGTTAGGAATCTTTCTTATCTTACCTCTCTCACGCTGCCCTTCCCTTACCCTTTGCTGCTAGCGATTTAGCTTCCACAGTGGATAGCTTCCTGATATGTTTAACGCTTGTACAGTGCTGGATGTGCAGGCAGCAGGCTGCCCTACTTTCCCGTTTTCTTCGTTCCAGAGTGTGACTGGAGCTGTAATGCTTGCAAAGGCCCCGCGAGGACGGACTGTTTGCAGTGCATGGATGGCTACGTTCTGCAGGAGGGGGCCTGCGTAGAACAGTGCTCTTTAGCCTTCTACCGGGAAGCCGCCACGTGCCAGCGTAAGTCTCTGTGCCGTTGTTTCTAGCTATCGCTACGGTGCTGTGCTTCCCCAGTTCATTTTCCAATCTGCTGCTAATTCTCACTTACGTGGGTATCCAGTTTTTATTTAGGAGTGAGGCCCTGACTTCAGCCTCCAGACCCCCTACACACAACGTATCGCTGCCTCTGTAAAAATCTCCCAGCCATATTTCTAGTATGAGCAGACAGCAGTAAAAGTTGGAGCTGACAGTGTGTATATGGTAGTGAATTCTTTGGGTCTGGCAAATGTCTTTCAGGATGTGATGACCACTGCCTCCAGTGTAACCATCCACATGAATGCTCTCGTTGCGAAGCTCCCTTTCTCCTTCTGGAAGCCCGGTGCGTCCCGGAGTGTGGGAAGCGATATTATGCCAACCAAGCAGAACAGAAGTGTACAGGTAAACAGAAGGGATGTGAGAAGGTGGGGTGGGATTGAAGTTGTGATTCTTATGCTCTGCCTCCTGTGAATTGTCACCTGCGCAAGCAGGGAACACCATTGATGTGCAGCGATATGAAATCCGTTGCTGGCTAGGGTGAAATCAGATGGAGAATTAAGGAAGAGGCAGTGTCTACTCTGGAACCAGCTTACAGTGCATTTGAATAGAGAGAAATTCCATGCAAACAGCAACCGCTTTGAGTGAACCTCTGCTTCTGACATTTGCCCATAGTAAAAGTAATATCTGCTGTTAGAGAATAGAGCTGCTCTGTGTTCCCTTTCTTCTGGATGTGCAGATGAGCTAGCTGTGCAGGATTTTGAGTACTCCCGATGTGCAAAGCTCACTGTGGTTCCATTTATGACAGCCTTCTGGTTTGAAAAATTGTCCGTTTGCGAGAGATTTCCCGTGTTAAATGGAGGGTACTAGTAGAAACAGCCCTGAATCTCACACTAGTGAAAGCTTCCTACCAAGAACACCCGTATGTATCTGTGGGTGGGTATGTTAGCTCTGGTAGATACAGGTTGGGTCATTTTTTACTATTAGGTCAGGTCGGGGAGGGAGGGTGCAAAGGGGGCAGATGCTCTGGGGCCCAGTGATTCAAAGGGGCGTAGGGCTCACAGCCGCCACTGTTCCTACTACAGCAGCAGCAGGAGCTGGAGCCCTGGCCCCTTTAAATTGCGACCAGAGTGCCGTGCCATGTGCTCCGTGCAGCTCTTAGGGCCGGGGGCATGGAGAGTGGCTGCCCCAGACTCTCCCCTTCCAGCTAATATTCCTCCCCTTCCGGGAGCATGGAGTCTCCCCCCCCCACACACCGTACCCGGGGCCCACGCGGGCTGTCGGCTCCTCTGGGCCAGATGGTGGTTGCTTCCTAATCTAAGAACTGGGACACCTGCACATCTTGGTTCTTGCATCGTCTGTGGCGCCTACTAAGGTTGTACCTTCTCATCCATCTCAGCTTGCCCCGTGGGATGCGTGGAGTGTGACAGTGCCCATGAGTGCCATCTCTGTGACACCGCCACCTTTCTGAAGAACAAGCTCTGTGTTTCTCGCTGTGGTCATGGTTTCCATGGCAACACCAGGACCGGGGCGTGTGAAGGTGGGTTCCTCCCGTGGTGGTGAAGGGAACGTAACTGATGTTTTCCTGACAGGCTTTTGGCTCTAGCGGCAGCGTGTGTGCAGTAGTATTTTTGAAATCTAAGTTCTGGACACACCCTCCGCAGTGTGAAAGGACCAGAAGGTAAAAGGAGCTGAAAGCTAGTTCTCTGTGACGTTTCTTTTAAGGAAAATGCCCGCAGCCGAATTCCAAGTAAAGTTCATTTGCTTACTTAAGAGTTTTTCCCTTCAGCTGCAACATGTTCCCCTCCACCCCTACTTCCCAACGTTAGTGGATGCTGAATAAAACCTAGGTGGGAAAAATACATCACTGAGGCAACAATGATACAGGACGTTTCATATGTAGAAAGCATCATGTCAACATGAACTAATTAATACCGCCGTGGGGGAAGGTCAGTAAGGATTATTATTCCCATTTTATAGAGGGGGATACTGAGATAAGTGACATGCCTGAGCCCACACAGTCCAAGATAGGGATTTAAAATCCCAGTTAAAAATGTAACCCATTAAACGTAATGTTTAACCGGTTAACCGTGATCCTGTGGCAGAGGGCTGCTCCAGCCGGGCCAGGCGGAGTCCACTGTGCCACAGGTGAGGGACTGCTCCAGTCCGGCCGGGCCTGCTGCCTTGAGCCTCAGTTGGCCGGGCCAGACAGGAGAGCCCTACGGCATGGCTGGGGCAGCCCCCCTGATGGTTAACCAGTTACTCCAGTAAGCACGCTGGCAAAGGGCATGCTTATCAGATAACTGGTTAACTATTTGCATCCCTAGTCCGTGTCAGAACCCGGATTAGAAATCAGTCCCTCCAGATACTCCACTCTACTCATTGCTCCAGACCACTGAGAGTGACATTAGGTGTGTCCTGGTGTATTGTGTAGCAAAGGGCAATGGCAAACACACATTGTGTAGTGGGAGCATGTCTTACATGTAAATGCCTTTTCCCCTTGTTTCTAGCTAACACAGCGAGGTCTGCTCCCCATGCGAATGGCTCACTCACAGTTGGGATTGGTGGGGTCAAGCCCCTGGACTTGTCCTTCATGGAGGCACATGACCTGGGTGACGGGCTGCTGTTCCATGTGGCCAGCTCTCCCACCAATGGCAGGCTAGTGACAATGGTGAACGGGAAAGCGGTGCAACTGGGCACAGGGGACGCCTTCAGCTGGGAGGACGTGGAGGAGAAGAGAGTCCGCTTTGTGCACAGCAGAGAGAAATCCAGGTGCTTGACCGGGGCTTTGTTTTGATCTCTCCCCTTGCAAAGAGGGATGCATCTGGAAGAGTTACTCACTTGCCAATCCACACAGCGCTGCAGCTCTTTTCTGTGGGGCGCATTGCATGGCCTTCCGTGACCTGCCCCATGTTTGCTGCACCGTGATATCACAGACAGCACGTTTTCCTGTGTTTCACACAGCAGATCGCTGTGATCCAGCTCCCATTTAATTGAATGAGAGTTTGCTATTGGTTCGTGCGGAGCAAGAGTAGGTCCTATGCTTGGGATACAGTGATGGTGGCGAATACTGAGGTTTTCATGGTGCTTGCGGAATTTAATTATTTGAAACATACAGGAAAATATTCAAATAATGATATAGACTCGCACACCGGCATGACCCGCACTCAGCCACTGCTGACATCAGGCACTTAGTATGTCCCTTTATTTCACACGTAAGACCTAGGGAGCGTTTGGATCTGAACGTTGGAGGAAATTGCATGTACTGACTGTCACTTCTATGGGGCAGACCGAGAGCCAGTTTCCACTCTCGGTTACACCACCACGAAACCAGAGTAAGCTCTAGCGTGTGGGCTGGAATCAGTGGAGCTATTTCAGTTTTATACCTATGTAACTAAGAGCAGAATTTGCCCCCTTGTTTTCAATAATAATTTTGCACAGCAAGAGTTCTTTCTATGTGAGAATCTCAAAGCACTTTAAAAATACAAACTAATTCTGTATAGATATAGGGTAGGAGCATGTTGAGCTAGAGACTTAAGTCACTGAAGTACTTTTGAAAGTCCTACCCAGTATTCTTTAATGGAGACTAGATTATTGAATTTTGGTCATACTGGCTTATTGCAATCAATAACAGGCAAAGGGAAATGAGTATATTACATACTGTGAATGCACGTCACTAACAAAGTGATATAAACCTAATTGCAGAAGTAGTCACTTGCCACTAATCTTCTCATTCCTATTTTTATATATATAGTATTTTTTATCTTTCGTCTGTTCCACAGGCACATTTCATCCATTAATATTATTCTGTTTTTATGGTGGGGGGTCTTGTTTAGGAAAGGTCAGTTTTCCTTGAAAGTCAGCGATCAGAGATTCTTCTCCCAGTTGGAGGTGATCACTGTGCAAGCATTGTCCACACAGGTAATATAACAAACCTGAAGAAATCTTTTGTTGTTTGTATATAGATTTGAAAGTTACAAAGGAAAGTTGGTGTCTCATAACAATGACGAACCTCAGCAAAACTCAGTCTTTAAATTCCTACAAGCCAAAGACTTTTTACCAGAAACACGTAGAGCTTGATTTTCCTCTTATTTACATTGGTGTGAATTAGGAGTAGCTCCATTTAAAATTAATAGAATTACTACACCATGTAAAAAAATGTTAAGTTAGAGCAGAATTTGGGCCATTGAGTACTGTAGTGCTATGCACAATTATTAGGGCATAGCAGAATGGCAGCTCTTCTAAAGTTAAGGTTCTGAGCCACTTACTTTTTGAAATACTCTGATCTAGTCCTTGATTGCACGGCAGCTGAATCATTATTGATCGCTACAGTAGAATCTTTTACACTTCAGAGCCTGTAGTTAAATGTCTGTTCCAGGGCTGCTGATTAAATATACTCCTCGGAACAGAGAGAACAGAAGAGCTGTCTAAATGTCTCTGTCGTCATTTCTGTATTCCCTTGAACTGCTCGCCACTTTTACTCACGCTGAGCATATCGCCCACTAGAAGATTTACCCAGTGTTGCTTGGGTCCTTAATTCAAGTTTTGTTTTTCATTTAAATCTGGGGAGGAGGGGTTCAGGATGCAGGCTGCCCAGGGGAGAGAGGACAACCCCAGCCCTCTCTCACCACAGCAGCTCGGGGCCAGGTGAGAAGTGCCCCTCCTTGGCTGCTGCAGCTGCAGTGAGCACAGCCAAAGGAGTACAGTGAGCACAGCCAGGGAAGGGGTACATGTCCCCTGACTGAGGTGCGCGCGCGCACACACAGACAGACAGACAGACTCTCTGAAATATACAGTAAAGAGCTGTTCCTTTCTCCACCTCTGCCCCCTGCTGGCCCAGTGTGGTGCTAGCTGTCCTGATTCCTATCTCTAGCTCCTTGCTGCGCCCCCCGGTGGTCATTTTGCAGCATAACTGTCCTTCCTGCCAGACCCTTCCTGTTTAAAACAGCTGGCTGTTCCCTCTAGGTGCTGTGTGCCCCTTGCAGGGTGGGGGCGGTGGGCAAAGATTTCACATGCTCTCCCACCAAGGCCAATTAGGGTCTGCAGGTGGAGGAGCACGGGAAGTTTCTTAGCCCCGCCCCTTCCAGGCAGCCTGGGACCACTTCACAGATTTGTGACGTTCCCCCCTCCACAAATTATTGCCCACCCCGATCTAGATAATGAACTTCAATCTGGTAAGGCTTGGACTGTAACTAGACTTCTTCCCAAGCCGTACAGTGTCTTCAGACTAGAGGTGGGTACCCCTTGACCCCGAAGTTAAGACTGTTTTGTAGGCCCAGGTCCAATCTATAAACTGGAGTTCCCTTCGACTTGAGCAAAACCAGGCGTTGTCCCTGGAGGGTCTTATCCAGCTCTCTGAGCAGAGCAGCACCAGGGTCGTAGACTGTGACCAGGTAACTATGTTGCTTTATGCATAAAATGTCCTGAGGCTTTTATGTTCTGCTTGCTGCGGTGTAAAACTCCCCCCTTCTAAATGTAATTCAATCTGACTAGTATTCTAAGGCCTATGCTCTTGGGGGAAAGTGCAGACAGGGAATCCCTGTTGTTTGCAAATAGGGACTTTCTGGCACACGGAAAGACTTAATCTCCCTGCCTCACAGCTTCCTTCCCAGACTTCCACCATCGCGAGAGCACTGTGACTTAGCAGACAGCTGAGAGCGGTTTTTGTGTTTCAGGCCCCGTACGTGCTCAGGAACGAAGTCCTCTTTCTCAGCAGAGGGGACGTGGGATCAATAACACGCACGTTGCTTGATATCCGCGACAGTGACAATCCCCAGGATGTAGAGGTGGTGGTAGTAGACCCTCCACACCACGGCCGCCTGGAAAAAGCTCCAGTGGACACAGCTTCTGCAGTCCAAGAATTCAATCTTGCTGAGCTGGCGAGCGGTCTCCTACGTTACGCTCACGATGGTTCTGACAGTCAGGATGACACGGTTCTTCTGCAAGTGAACGATGGGTACCACTTCCAGAACATCCTGTTCCACATTAAGATTTCTCCAAAGGTATGTTCCTTTTTGCAGTGGCCAAGCAGGTATAAAAGCAGTGTATCTGTGGGGGAGGCTAGAAACCAGATATCACTGACGGGGATGTGGCGAGGGAGAGGCAAACTGGCAAGCTGTGTTTGGGTTGGCAAAACCTTTTCTGCTGGCGTGTTGGTTTGTAGCCCCACAATGGCTCAATAGTTCCCGTTTCCATTCATCTCTGTCTACAGCTGGAGAGTTGAAAATGCACCGTCCTTTTCTCTGTGGGTGCTATGGACCTGTGAGAGGATGCGGGACATGAGGCTGCCTTCACTCCCAGGGAGGAAAGGATGCTGAGGGGCTGTAATCAAAAGTCACTGGGGCTCCCCCAAAGTTAGAGCAGCCACATCCATCCGCTCTATGCAGCCACAGGGCACAATGATTTTTTTGATACATGCTTTTATAATCTTCTGCAACACACGCATGAACTATTTTTATAACAGATTTTAAACTAAGACCCTGTAGACTTACAGTACATTCAGAGACTGACAAGGCTATACCTGGAGTTGGCAAAATGGTTTCATTAGCACTTGCATGGCTCTTTTGCAGGTTCCATGGGAGGGTGGCCTTTTCATTTTTTCTCCTTTCACGAGAAAGCAAAGCCACAGAACAGGGGCAGGAAGAGGAAGGTGGGGGACAAATAAAACCCAGTGGTACCCCAAATTTTTTGGGTGCCAGTGCATTCTGTGTATGGGTAAGGATGGCTCTGGATCTGTGAATCGGTGCCCTTTTGCTGCTTCCCTGTAACGTAGAAGTATCCCTAAGAACTCAAGCTATCTGAAGAAGAATTGTTTGCATGCTACTCAGTTTTTGAAAGTGCAGGGTTTTGTAGTAAATGACAGCAACGGAGAATGCTCAGTATAGTTTATTCCCCAGTTTTACTCTCCCTTCTCTCCAATTATTTTCTGGAGTCCTCCTGTGCTGCATTTAGGTACAAAGGGCAATAAGACAGAGATGATAGCAGAGCAGGATTTACCCTGAGGTGGGGCTGGCAGGTACCCAGTTTTTTGCCTTATCCTAATTCTCCCCTTTCTGCAATAGCCTTGGGAGATGAATTAGATGCAAAGTTTATTTCAGAAGAGGCACTGTCTAGACACACTCGAGACTTCTTTTTTCTTCCAGGTTTTCATCCAAAGGTTGTTACAGATGCTGCTATCACCTTAGGTGGAGGATACTTTTCACCCCTCTTCTAATTGAAGTACATGAGGCTTATCATAATGCCATACCAAATGATTGTATGGGCTATTTGAAAACATTTCTAGGGGTTCTATTAAATTGGCGTACAGAGTAACCCTTTAAGATTTTTATCTAGAGAAGCACCATATTATTAGAGCCAAAACATAAAGTAAGGACCACTGATTCTTTTGAGTGTTATGGAATTGAGACATTTGCTTCAATTTCTCCAGCCGTGTTGGTTTCTGCAAAGCTTTTGCTTGGGGGCTTCTGCTTGGTTTGCAGTATTTGTAAGACCTCATACCAAGACTTTTTGAGATCCTGGAGTCTAAAAGGTTGGTCTTGTTTTCCAGAGCACTTAGTAATTACTTGCATTTCTATATTGAGCCCTTTAGCCACTTTAACGTCAATGAAGCTATTGGTGCTGCTACTAATGATACTCTGTTGGAACACAGAGCCCATGCCCTAGAAAATGTGCCATCTGGCAGCATCAGATCAGTCAAAATGGAGCGGGTGTTAGACCTGGCTGCATGTCATATGTTTATTGTAGGTATCAGCTTTGGTGATGGGTTGTGGAAGCCTTTGCCTTCCAGGAGGCATAGAGAGATTTAGATTGGATAGATGAAATTAATGGGTAGCAGGTTTAAAACTAATAAAAGAAAGTTCTTCTTCACACAGCGTTTAGTCAACCTGTGGAACTCCTTGCCAGAGGAGGCTGTGAAGGCTAGGACTATAGAGTTTAAAGAGAAGCTAGATAATTTCATGGAGGTTAAGTCCATAAAAAGCTATTAGCCAGGGGATAAAACGGTGTCCTTGGCCTCTGTTTGTCAGAGGCTGGAGAAGGGGTGGCAGGAGACAAATCGCTTGATCATTGTCTTCGGTCCACCCTCCCTGGGGTACCTGGTGCTGGCCACTGTCGGCAGACAGGATACTGGGCTAGATGGACCTTTGGTCTGACCCAATACGGCCGTTCTTATGTTCTTATGTAGTTGTTGGATGTTCTGTACAGTAAGGGCTTAGTGGTCTCGGTGCGTTTCGTAGCGGATGAGTGTCTCTAGTTGGCAGTTTCAGTAGGAAGGCCAAGGTTTGAACCGGCATGGAGACTGAGCTACCATCTCACTGCTAGGGACAATTCAGGCAGGTCAGGTTTGAGGCACATTGACAAGGCAGTGCGGCAGAAGCAAGGGCTACAAGAGCCAACGCTCTGCTTGCTGCATGGTTCGACAAAGAGGACGTTAGTCTTCAGGGCTGCTTAGTGCTGGTGAAAGGTGCATTTGAATATGTGCCTGCAGGTACCCAGTGGAAATGTAACCGTCAGCCTTGCCACGGGTAAACAAAACTCTGACATGCTTCCAGCTCTGTCCGGGTCCTCTGGGGGAGAACTGACTGGCTTGGCTGTAACTTGCCACTGACAAATAAAAGGGTTTGCAAGCAAGAAGGAACCTTTTTGCTGAGCACATTTTTATTAATTAGTTGGATCATGGCACCAAAGCCAGCTGGGAATGTTATTGGAAAATGAGAGATTGACTTATTGTGGGGAAGAAAGAGCCCTTCTTTAATTCATTCATTCATTCATTCCTCCCTGGGAAATGATGGGATGCCATTGCGGCTCTGGACCTCGCTTTTAATTAACATTTTCCTGGAAACGTTTTCTTCTCAAACAATGTGTTTTTGGCCCTCACCCTCAAAGTACCCTGAGGCCTGGCTGCTCTCTTCTTTCTCCCCTGCCATCATAAATCTGGTAATCTCGCTAACCCTTTCAAGCTGGTAATTTCCTGCTGCTGATTTATGCTTTGATGTTAGACTCCATCCGTGCTGTGATATCACTGATGCGTCAAGACGAGTGGAAAGTTGCCATGGATATTGTTCGCCTTCTCCTGAGCTGGCAATCAGTTCCGTCTTACTTCTGCTCAGTTCTTTCACAGCAGGGGTGAGGAACCTAAGGCCCAGGCGCCGAATGCAGCCCCCAGCTTGCTTGAATCCGGCCCCCGAGACTCAGGGCTCCTCCTCCCCCAGCACTGGGGAGCCCACAGGGATGGAGCACACAAAATCTACTAGTCAGGGCCCCACTAGGCTCTGGTGTGAGGTTGGAATGTGGGGCGTGTTTTTTGTCCTTCTCAGTTGGGGGCCACATCAAGGAGGTTTGTGGGGCGGTGGGTTTCACTTGTGTGCGGCCTCCTACTGATTTTTCTGTGGGTCCCCAACCCCCAAAAAGTTCCCTGGCCCCGTTTTACAGAATAGAGCTGCCGTTTATTCTAGGGCAGGGGTCTCAAACGCACGCCCAGGAGCCATCTGCAGCCCAAGCAGTTCCACAGACCAGCCTGTGGACGGCTCCTGAGACGTGAGTCCCTGGGGGAAGGGGTGTCCATACCCTTCTCCCAAGTCCAGCCCCTGCTTTGCTCCTGTCCATCCAACCTCTTCCCCACTCTGCATTGCATCCCTTTCCTTAAGCCCTCTCCCCTGAGGGACACAGGCTCCAGGATTACTGGGGGCCTGGCGCAGGTCAAGCCCCCACCGCGGCAGTGAGAGCTATGGGGAAGCAGCATAAGGCAGCAGCTTCTGCTTTGCTCCGCCACCATCTCCCAGCTAGCCCAGTCGCTCCGCTTCACCGCGGCAACGGGAAGCAGAGCACCCCAGCCCCAGCACAGGCCGGCTTGGGAGACGGCAGTGGAGTGAAGCTGGCTGCTGTCGAGCACCATTTCCCTGCGGCTCCCACTGCCCAAGGCCCCATGGGCTAAGCTGAGTATGGGGGAACATCCCGCCCATAGGACAGTTGGGGCAGCTGCGCCATACCGTCCCATGGACGGGACCGCTCTGCACACACCTGCCCCAGGCCTTAGAGACATGCCGGCAGTGGTGCAAAGCTAATAGCCATAAGCCGCCCTCGCCCCACTGCGCTACCGGGAGCCTCTGGGGGGGATTAAATCTCCTGGGGGCAGCAGAGGGGGCTGGTGGACACATGGGGGGGGAGTGTGTGGGTTGGCAGATGCATGGGGTGAAACAAATGGAGATATCCTCCTCCCCTCAAGCCCTGCCAGAGGGGGGGTGTCTGCTGGCCCACCAGGAAGATTTGAGGACAGGCACTGGCGCTATGATAAATTGAGTCTGAGACCCCTGTTCCAGGGGAACTGCTGATCCCACATGCGGTAAAACTGAGGCCTCCATGACGTTCTGATGAAAAAATAGTATTATGCGACATCAACATAATGGATTAAAAATGGACTGGTCTCAAAAAGTAATGGTAAATGGGGAGTTGTCAACCTGTGTGTGTGTGTGTGGGGGGGGTCCTTCAAGGGACTTTCCTTGGTCCAGTGTTGTTCAATATTTTTATAAATGATTTGGAAGAAAATATTGCTGATAAACTTTTTAGATAACATAAAACGTGGAGAAGTGGTAAATAATTAGCATAGATAAGTTGTATAGAGCAATCGGGATTGCTTGGTAAACTGTTTTTATCTGAACAGCGTGCAGCCAAATGCAAGGTAGAAAGGTGAACAGTGGGTCACGCTGACAGGATGTGCAAGACTGTAGCTTAGAAAGAGGTGAATGAAAAGGACGGGTGGCTAGCTGTCCATGTCATGCTGTGGCGAAGAGGGCTGGTACAATTCTCGGCTGTAATGCAGTGATATAGTGAGTAGATAGAAGGGAGTGTTGTTACTAGTCCATAGAGTATCAATGAAACCATTCCTGGAATAATGTAACATGTTCTGCTGTCCACACTTCAAGAAGGATGCTGAAAAATTGCAGAGGCTTCAGAAAAGAGCTACAAAAATTATTTGGGGTCTGGAAAATCTGCCTTACAGAGTTCAGAAGCGCAATATATTTAGCTGATTAAAGAGAAGATGAAGGTGACTTGACCATGGTCTATAAGTACTTGCACAGGGAGACAATTTTTGATCATAGAGCGCTCTTAATTTTAGTATACGAAGGTATAATAAGATGGCTGGAAAGTGAAGCTAGAAGAGTACACACTATAAATAAGACACAAATGTTTAACAGTGAGGGTAATTAACCATTGAAACATTGTGATAGTCTTGAAGACATCACTTGAAGTCTTTAAATTAAGACTGGATGTCTTTCTTAAAAATATGCCCTAGCTCAACCACATGATATGGGCTTGATACAAGAATTGATGGGTGAAATTCTCTGGCTTGGGTCACACAAGAGGTCAAATGAGATGATCAAAATGGCCTCCTCTGGCCTTAAAGCCTATTAATGAGGTGTGTGAGAACGTGTCACTGTTGTTAAAACTGTCTTTGCCTCAGGATAAATGTGGCTTCCAAAGACTTATTTTCCAGCTGGAAAACTTCCTGTCATAAATAAAGAACTCCAGGTGTATGTGTTTCTAGACACGCTACCATACGCAAACTAGGGATGTAAGTGACTAGTTCAGTCACTACTCGACTAGCGGCTTCCCCCATTTGCTGCCTCTGTCAGCACCCTCTGGGGGTAGGAGACGGGGAGGCAGAGACGAAGCCCCAGCTCACTCCTGGTCCCTGAAACTAAGCCTCTGCCCTTGAAATGTAGCAAGAGCCACGGAAATTCCATCGACTGCTTGGTTAGCTGATTAATTGAAATTTAACATCCCTAACCCAAACTCCTCAGTCATTTCCTGCAGGCGCAAACACTTTTGCAATTGCAGAGCTCTATCAGGGAATTTAGGCCTGTCTTTTGATAGCTGGTGGGAAAAGCTTGTGGTTGGTTCTAGAGGTGTTATGCTTGGACATGCTTCCTAATGTCAAAGGGGTGATTAGGAGAGCCTGTGGCTGTGTCTACATTGGCATGATTTTGCACAAAAGCAGTCTCTTTTGTGCAAAAACATGCTGCCTGTCTACACTGGCGGGGAGTTCTTGTGCAAGAACACTGACATTCTAATGTGTGAAATCAGGGCTTCTTGCACAAGAACTATGACGCTCCCGCTCAGGAAAAAGCCCTCTTGCGCAGCTGTTCTTGCACAAGAGGCCAGTGTAGACAGGCAACATGAATTTCTTGCGCAAGAAAGCCCAATGGCTTAAATGGCCATCGGAGCTTTCTTGCGCAAGAGAACATCTACACTGGCACGGATGCTTTTGCACAAAAGCACATGCCAGTGTAGACGCTCTCTTGTGCAAATACTTTAACGCAAAAATTTGCGTTAAAAGTATTTGCACAAAATCTTGCCAATGGAGATGTAGCCCCAGTGTATTAAAGAGTTTCTATTCCACTATGATGAAAATTACAGATACTTAATGGGATTAAGAGTGTTTTTATTTATGGCTCGTTTTTAAAGCAGGATGTGATTTGTAACCATCCTTGAAGAAGTATGTTTGGAGGAAGGATTTAAAAGTGGGAGAGAGAGGAGACATGGGAGATAGTCCCAGGGAATTCTGGGCCTGGACATAGATTTTAGGGGACATAGGTTTTAGGGGAGATAGTGAGGATTAACCTGACAGGAGAGACGCTGAAAAAGGAAAGAAAAGGAAGCTGCAGATGCACCAGGACTCTGACGATGAAGATGCTGTTTAGGTGCAGCAGTGAACAGGTCATGGAGAGAGATGGAGGATGATGGTACAGGAGAGGAGGAGAGACTTGAGATCAAGAGGAGTTGGCTTCAAATGGGGCCAGGAGAAAATTACAAATGGGACTAACTGAGGAGAAAGTGGAAGGTGGGAGGGAAATGGAGCTGGCAGGGCAGGGGGCTTCCCTCTCTGAAGCAGATGAGGAGAATCAAAGAGAATCAGCTGCACCATGTGTTCTGCAATATTCAGTCTAACCTTTCTCGTTTAAAAGTGTATTTATATTGGCCCAATATTATTGCCCATCAGTTGAGCCTCTGCTGCTGTCCCTCCCACTTGCAGAACGATGGAGGCTCCCGGCTGGTTACTGACCCCACGGTGTGGGTCCCCAAAGGAGGGATGCTGCCGATCACCAACAGAATTTTGCAAGCAGAGGTGCCTGGTGCCAGTGAATCTGAGATAACCTACACAATCGTCAAGGGCCAGCCAAAATACGGTAAC